ACCGAGCTTGCCGGGGTCGGCTGGCCGGTCCGAGTCAAATGAAGCAGCGGGTATCGCGAACTATTTTCAAGATGTATTTTTGCGTTAGGAAGATGTTGATTATATAATCAACATCTTCCCAACGCAAAAATACATCTTCAAGTATGTTCTCGAAAACAGCAGTCCAAAATACCGATCGTGGCGATTTTACGGCTTCCATCAATCTCTCGCGGTGACGTTAGAGAAACATTTTGCTGCATCATGGCCTGTTTGACAATTGACATCAACCCAGATAGTGCGCCCTCTTTTTTATTAGATATTCATGAGCCCTTCCACGGAATGGCGACACTCCCCAATTTTTCTCTTCGGAACAATTTTTCTCAAAAGAAAATCCGTCATTCTGAATAACGTTTGCAAAAAAATGACATTCAAGACATAAAATACAATTCATGATGAAAATCTAATGCTCAAAGTTATTAATTTCAATTTTATTTTCAGTGGAATTATCTCCAAAACAACCGGCAAAATGAAAATCGTACATGGAATTTTTGAGCACTAAATGTGAGAGAATTTTGGCATTCTCGAACGTCATGCAGTTTCTGTCAAAATTCTCGAACGTGATCAAAATTCTGTCAAACATGACGTTTGCAACGAACATATCGTACTCATTATAAATTTTTGATGCAGCCAAACTTAAAGATAATTTTGGTGGTCAAAAGATACAAGACCTGGCAAATATGTTGGTATAGTGAGAGTGATTATAAACGGTAAGAGAATGAAGCGAGCCAAACTTTTCTCATCTCAACGTGGGACTATCGAATGACCAGGTCTAGTTGTACAACATCGTCAGAGATGGTGCAGGTTGAAAATATGTCACTATCCTTGTTATAAAACAGGTTTAAACAGATTTAATTCAAGGCTACCTACCTTACTGGTAAATGTACATGTACATTGTACATGGAGTGTGTATGTCCCTAATATTAATAACTTTGCAAGGTAAAAATTGTTTTCTCCCGAAATTTATGGAATGTTTATTTAACCTGACACAGTGAAGAATAGAATGGAATGGAATGAAATGGAAGGGGTGACCCTAAATCTACACCCATGAAACTGACAACACAACCTCTTGTTATGGTAATCCTTTGACTCCAAGATAACAAGCAGATAAAAAATACTGATCTATTGAACTCCAAAGGTAAACTTTCACTTATGAAAGCAAATCTTTCTGCTGGTATTGATTCTGTCCAATTACGTGTACATTGTATAACACTTGGCAGCACAAAGTGCAGAGGTGGACTGCAGTCATACATGTATCATGGGAACATACATGTATGCATACATGTATATTAACTTGCTGTAAATCAATTAATACCAATGACTGGTTTTCCCATGGAGCTTCAAATGCACCCTACATGTACATGGTTGATTCCCTGAAGTCTCAGGGCTTGGCAGCCAAAGTAATTTGAGTTCAAACTGCACCTGTCTAAATTGGCCGTGCTATCGCATTCAAAGAGACACCATGTGCAGTAATCTAAGATTCTTACTTCAACACAATCCAATTTTACTTTTGATTTGAATCTACTGATACCATCAACAAGCAAAAACTTCATCACAATAGATGCTAATTGGTTAATAAAAACAGCTCCTCATTTATGGTATTTGGTTCTTTGCCAGTCACCATCAGCGTGATTCATCAAGTGACACCAGCAGCATGCAAAACCAGTCAATACAAATTGTCCACAAATTGCCTTACAATCGGTTGCAGAGCCTACAATCATGAATCGATGCACAGAATTGTTATTAAGGTCAACAGTAAGCCCTCCTCAAGGCTGAGACACTCACTGAAATGCATTTGACGGAATGGAAGTGAACCGCAATTGGGGTTTATTGCCACCAGAGAATGCTCTTTCAAGTTTCAGGCAATGCAAACAAGAGGGAAAAATCAATCATTGACAAAGGGTATCGTAATACGTCATAAAAAAAGGGCATACATTGTAAGCACCGCAAAACCTCATCCTTGTTCCATGGTCATATAGTATTCTTCCAGTCTGAATTGAAGAGACTAAAGGACCCTGTCCTTGTCAATTATGGGCACGAGTAAACAAAACTTGTACATACATGTACGTGTACATTCACTCTATAAAAAAAAATTCATCTGTTGAAAAAAAAATTAAAATACGACTACCCATTATATCACTCCTTATGTTTACAGGCAATTTCAAAGAAAACAATTGCACCAAGATAGATTTTGTTGGTCAATTCAAAAATGTTATGTTGCATTGTGATGGTCATTTTATTTCAACTGTGAAACCAGAAGAAAAATTTCAGCAGTCTTAGAAAGCTCCTGAATCAGTCTGCTCCATAATTTTGGCACAAATGCTTTAGATTGGTTACTTTTACAGTAAATAGGATTTTAGATAATTTACACCATACTTATGCTGGTGGTGATAAATCATTTGACTTTTTATTCACCAATTTCTGGCATTCATTATAGCTGAACATCTGAAATTTGATTCAAATTTGGAATCAAAATGGACTCATGCCGGTTTGCACACGAATATTGTGTACAAGTAAAAAACAGTTATGAACATACAAGTAGTTTCTTGTGTCTGTTGTATTTCACTGAAAAAAAAAATATGCTGCTTGCCAACAAACGAGTAAACGTTACTGAGAATTGATGTGCTACTACTAGTACATGCATAAAGTATACAACCATTTTCTAAAAAAAAAAAACCTGTTGACTTTCTACACCAGTTTTTTGGTACAGGGCCAGGTCCTTAGCAGATGCTTTTAAATATTGGACCATGCGAAGTTAACCACTACCGGATCTCTGTGGCTAATCGTTTGTGGTGTGTGGGCTGTGGTCTTCTACTCAGCATGGGGTAGCATGTGGGTATTTCAGTGAGTCTTCCTGCACACTACACCTGCATCAGGGGAGTTTTGGGTGGGTCACAGGACAAAGCTACCAAACATGAATGCTTATTGTGGGGCTTGGGACAAGCAAGCACTACAAGAATCTGGAAAGATGTAAGCGTTCCTTGAATTTATATCTCCAATTCAAACACAAGGATTATTTACACTTAGTGTCAATACAGGTGCCTACAGTTTGATCTCTAAAAAAATCATGTTAAGTGTTTTAATCCATATGAAAGAGCATCATTTGCTGTGTATACCATGTATACTGTATGTTGGGCACGATCAGTCAATCAGCATGATTACTTTGCACTATTGATCAACCCAGTACGAAATTTACAACTTTCCTTTTTTTTTCAAATGATCTGCCATATCCGTGAATTAGAAAGAAAGGCAACTGGTTGGCAGAATTATCAACAAAAACTGCACAATTGCACAGATCTGACTGATAGCTTCCAACGTATTGTACTGGGTTTGAGAAGCAATTCCTTGGGAAGGAAACTTCTCAATCCTGTCCTTTCATCCTTGGAGTTGTTGCCTAACAGTATTATCCAGTGTGTGTACCATAGAAAACTGACAAAATGTAACCCGAGGGTTTATGACTGGCCTTGGTTTTCGCCCACATTTTCCAGGTAAACTTCCAGGATCCTGTCTGCATTTTTCTACACTGCCATAGGGCCCAGTATCACTCAGTCCTTGCCTGTAGTGTCGAATAAAGCTTTCCAAGTGTGTCTATAATTACGGTTTTGTTTACTTGTTCAGAGGGTAATCTGGCTCCAACATAGGGAATGCAGTGCCAAATGTCCTTAGGACAATTCATGCACACTTGGCACTTGTTTCAAATCCAACAAATGCTGCAGTATCAGTACAGGCATAGACAGCCTCATTTCAAATCTGTGTCAGCTTTCAAGTCTGAGGCAAAACTCTACACTAATTTACATCTTGCACAGACAGTCAAGAATCCCATACTTGTTAAAAAGCACAGTGTTTGGTGTTGCGTTAGTTTTGCTTTTCGCAAGTACATGTAAATGGTCACGAATGAAAACAATCCCCTTTCCCCAAAATCCAAGAACAATTTATCCTTAAAATAACGGGAAGACTTGCAGGTATATGTAAATTTCTTATCTCTAATTTTCCACCTTTAGTCTTTACAAACAGGAAACCAAAGACTGTGCAGGTTAAAGTAGATACCTGTACATGTACAGTAGTATGTACATGTACATACCATACAGACGTGTACAGTATCTATACAGTATGCACACTGAACAACATATTACAGGTACATGTACATGTATGTATGTCGGCCAGGACAAACGAGAATATGCAATCTACCCCCTACTTAGACAGATATGATTTGATTACCGAAAGGTCAATCCACAGCTCCCTGAGTTCACCGCTATCTGTTTTCCTGGGTTATCAAGAATGCTATTAAGGCCCTTTGAATTTACTACAGTACCTGGAGAGCTGTTACTGACAGTACACTTTCCTCGTTGTAATTTAGACATTTTGATCATTCCAACTGGTATGTTTTGACTGAAATTTGCACTAACTGATAGAGTTTCCAGTAAAGGCAAGCACTTGCTGTGACTGTAAGGCACATTGACAAATAGTACCCAAGTGAACTTTCTTCGTAAAAGAATGTTTGTGCAAGTTTACCACCCCTGGCATAAATAACAATACATGTACATGCAGATCTTACTCATTTCATGCCACTCTCAGATATCTAAGGACTGCAACATTAAACTCATGATACCAGTTCTTCTCCTACAAATGTGGGTGTATGTGAAACATCAATTGACCAACAATACCTGACTACTTACGTGTACACGTACAACAGAACACAATATTTCCATCATAATAAATGTTTTAAAAGCCCATCTGTCAAACTACCCTACACATGTGCAGAATCAATATTTCTACTTTTAATTTTTGAACATTACAGGAAAAAAGATAAGCATACCAAATTAAAAGATCAATTTCTCTCACACAAAAGCCACTTTACAAAGCGATATTAGTCATAGAAACCAAGCATCTTTGGAAATCAAGGACCGTGGAGAAGACTATTTAAGGCAAACTAAGCAATGCAAACTGAGAAACTATGCACACATCAACCTTCATAAAATGTCACATACATAGTCTACCTCAAAGTAAACAAACTGTCAGTGTAAACAATGTTTTAAAAATACATGCATGTTAGTATGCAATGCGGTTTACTGCATATACATGTGCTGTAAGTACTGTACGCTGTGGGAAAAAATTTCTGGCTCTCTTTGACAAACCCATTCTCTTTGAGAGTTTCAAGTAACTCAAGAGTTTTAATAAGGTTTCATTTGAAAAGGTACATGTACAGTGTACACCACAGTTTAGTTTATATACTGGTAGGCACACATGTAAGCTTGTTAAACCTGAAACACCACAGTACTCGTATTTGGTCCTGTCAGGACTCTGAATGCAAGCAGTAGTGGTATTCTTACACTGAACTACAGCATCCTTCCCAACTATCCACTGCGAGTCTGTGACTGTAACCCTCATCAATGATCCCTAGGCTAGAGCTGCGAAGTTCCTCATTCTGCCTCTCTTATAGGGGTCATGCTGCTCAGCATCAACGAGTGTCAACAAAGCATCAACAAGTTTTCCCAAGCATATTAGTATTGTCACAAAATTGTATTTACAATATTGATAAGTCTCCCCAATATCATATTCATTGTATCACATTTATCTAAAGTGTTATTTGAGTGTGGAAATACCGGTATGAGTGACAAAGTCGGACCTCAGTCAGGCCTGTCCATACAACCTGACCGGCCACCATCTTGTTTTTACGTGGACAGCAGAGAAAAGAAAGATGGAGGCCCTATGCATTACGAAAACTGTTTGTTTTCCTGCAAGAATCTGGAAGCAAATTTGTAATTTTTCTTACACAGTCTCTTGAATATGATAAATCCTCTTTTAAATCTTAAGAACGTATTTACAAGTTGTTGACACTTTTTTTACCCTAATTGTGTATGTTAACGCTTGTCGAGGCCAACAAGCACAACCGCTCTATGGGCCTTATTAGGGGGTTGTTTTTTGGGGACCCCAGTTTTCTGTCATTTTGGCTTTAAAAAAATGGTCAGCCCCCAGAAAAACCAAAGGCAATGCTCTCTTTATGGCGTTGACCCTATTTTGGGGGGAAAATTTTGAATTGAAAATTATGAGAAAATGTTATGTTATTATTAAATCTTATTAATGCAAATTTGAATCCACTATATGTTAAAACACAGTTTCCTCTCAAAATTTCCCTCCAAACTCAATAATTTTTACAACATTAACACTGCAGTTATCGAGTATGATGTCACAGTCATCTACAAAGGTGCATCCATAAGTTAAAATTTAGATCTCCCTTCTCCCCAAGCTAGGAACCCCCATAGCAAAGAAGAGACAGTGATGGAAGTTTTTCAATTCAGCTTATGCAGATGCCCGGCACACGAGCAAAGACCATTGGGAGTGCGTATGACGGTGCTCAGCGTGTCCTGTGTGCATTTTTTTCCCACCAAAGGATAAATCTAGATATGATTTATCCAGGTAGGCCTAGCTAAAAAAGTGCTGAAACGTTAACATTGTACATCACAGCCAAACTGCCTAACAGAAAACCAATGCTAGATTTAGCTTGAGAAGCTTATTCATCACAGAGTTTAACTGTATAAAACAACTTTTACTTTATGAGCCATAGTACTTTCATTTACAATAGAGCTAGAACTTAACCCTCAGCAAGGCTACATGTACATGCATGTACATTATAAAATTGCACTCAGTGTACATGTACAACTACATCATACATGTACATGTACTTTGGTCCAAAGTTGTCAAGTCTAGACAGTGTCAAAGCAATTTACGAGTTAGTACTTAAATTGCATATTCCTTTACTAAACTGAGTTGCTTACCTTGACATACAACTGTGAAAAAGATTAACGACAAACACTGGTGGTGAGTGACTTTCTTTGGACTAGCCATGGCCGTCGTATGGGCAGAGAGGTTGGGTCCGGGTGTGCAGCAGGACAAGATTCGTTGCACAGCGATCCCAAATCCGGTGTTGGTTTTGTAGACGTAAGACTGGACAAAAAGAGGGAGCTCAGACACAGCTGTTATGTATCTCGAAAAAGTTGTTCAGAAGCTGTTCCTAAAACGAATTCAGATTTGCTCTGTCAATTCCACCTCGTCACTTGTGCCTTGCCTGCAAACAAGGTTTTTTGAGATATTAACACAGGAGCAGTACGCGTCCGCCGAGCTTAATCAAACGTGCCCAGGCCTAAATCCACACTGCACTGAACACATGTGTTTAATGTGCCGTCGTCGATCGAACATTTTATACTGTTAGCATTGGGTAAGTACCATTTTCAAAATGGGTTGGAAGCAATACACGCTTCTGACTTCATAACAAAATAATTTCAAATTTCCTGTTCGGCTTTTAAAGGATGCTCTGGAAAGGTATATACCAACTTTATAGTGCATTTTTTATGTCTTTTCTTAGCCCAATTGCTATTCTTAAAAAAATCTTGTATAAATATAAATATTTGCACACCTATTTCAAAATCCCGTATGCCATCAGGAGAGCGGAAGTAGAATATCCGCGCGCTGCACACAATCGATCTCGCGCCAGTGGGCAGATAAACCAAAAAGTTCCGTTGGTCCGTTGGACATTGCAGTGGTGATCCACTTTGCTCCGTACTTTCTTGCCCACGCTGTCCAATGCCACAAACGTATTTTAAGCTTATTATGTGATAGATAATTATATTTGTTTTTAGGTTTCAAAAAAGAAATCATTTTTAAAAATCATAAAACAGCCGTCACTACCAAAATTAATTATTTTTGACCAATAACTGTCGAGAAAAAGCGCAATTATGTTACAAGATTTGCAATTGGCTGAAACTTTTGGGACAACAAGCATATCGTCTGCGCAGCATGCATTTTATTAAACAGACGTCATAACAAAATCGTAGGGTTCAATTGACTTTGTAGGCCAATCCCTCGAGAAATATGACAAATAAAAGCCATGAAAGCATAACCAGAAAATAATCTTCACAACACAACAACTGTAAAGGTAAGTCTTCATCAGCCTCCACATCTGGAAAATTCCTCTTATTGGTAACGTTAACACTAGTTAAACAAAACCAGGCTAACGGTAGGCTTTTGACTTTGAGCCATCACTTGACATGGTGATTGGTGTCATATCTGACCTCATTACTAGTCTTAGTGCTTGTCATTGTTGGCCTTCTCAATGCGGCTTGTGCGTTGTTTGAACTTGTCAACATTTGTCAGTCATTTTCAACAATTTTAAAATCCAGTTTGGCCTTGGTCTTGAACAGTTGCAAAACACAGTGGAGAAGTAAACATATCATGGTAAAGATATGATATGTACATGTATGAGGCCCAACAAATTAACTGAAATAAGTGTTCGGCAGAGAAGAGACCTGTCATGCTTGTTGAAAAAATGAAGCCTAGGCCTAGAGCCTAACATTATTTAATTTATTTTCATTGCTGAAATTCTGCTGTTTAATGTAGACCGTTAACAAGACCTCTGACAATGCAATCTGTCACTTTGTTGTTACTGTTAGGGCCTCGTTTAATTTGGTTGTTTACAAGTTCAGTTAACAGCAGTGGGCTCTGTCACTGGCAGGTTTAGTCACTAGCATGACTAGACTGCCTTCAAACTAACTAAGACACACAGTTCAAGAAAGCTCTTTTGTGTTCTTTTTGACAGTATTTCAATATCTGGGCAGAATGTTGTCATCCCAAAGGCAAGATGAGGTGGAGAGTCAGCCATTCTTCAAACCCACAACCCAGAACCAAAATGCATCAAACAGTTTTTTTATATTTGGTGATAAAGAAACATCAAGAAGTACTGCTACCTCAATATTTCAGGTGATCATTCAGTGTTAGTATTGTTGGGCAAAATTAAAACTTACTTGTGCCTTTGTTCTAGTTTCAATTTTTACAGAGTTCAACAGGTACGGTAACTTGTGATCAAATATGTCACCTCAGGAGTGCCTTTTTTAATTGACAAAATGGCTTGCATTTTCACATGGTTTCCAGATGAGGAACAAGTTAAGCAAGGTTGTCGTAGCCCTGAGCACATAATGCTGTATATTTTGATGTCATTTGAATTACAATAGCCATTAAAAAATCTGGAAGGCCCAGGCCTTATTTCTTGGCACTGCTAACATACGACTTTATGCTTACACAGGCTCAATGTATTTCAAGGAGACCATATAGTCACTAAGCATGGCAAAAGGCACAATTTCCTTCAAGGAAAAATTTGCTCAACTTTGTGACGTAATCATGGAAATCTCCATGTGTGGGAATACAACTTTTGTGCTAAGCATAGCAACCATGAAAAGTTTAACATGAAATATACTGAACACTAAATAACTTTTCCATGGTTAGCACAAAATTTGCACAGTGGTAAGCAGCACCATGAACTTTGACCCGGGATGCTACGAGATTAAAAGTTACTCCAATCAAATGAAATCTATGAAACTCTGCTAATTCACAAATATGTCATCATTCTCCTGCCACCTTACAGGACTCCAGCCCTCAACCACAACAAATAAGTACAGCTAGGCCATCTTTATTGATTACACCAAGTTTATGCCCTTCAGCCGCAACTGTATCAAATATGCAGGAGCGCCAGTACCAGCAGCAACAAATGCAGAAGCAGCAGGAGCCATCAGACTTGTTGGATAGCTCTGACCGCCTCAGCAAGCTGCATACACGCCTTCACAAAGAGGCTGACAAGATCAGGAGTTGGAAAGTCCAAACTGAGATGGATCTAAAACAAAGGGAGAGAAAGCTTCAGGATGCACAGATTACAATAGAGTCACAGAAAAAGTCAATCCTTGAATTACAGGTACATGGTGCATGTATAACCCCTAAACAAACAAATAGCTGTCAAAATTTAAGTTTTGTTAAATAGTTTGTTTAAGTCTAATAATGGGATAAAGTTTTGACTGTGGGCGAAAAATGGGATATTGGAACCAGTATTTCTGACCTAATTGAAGCCATTTCTTTTTCTTTCGGAAGCTCCAAAATGAAAATCTCAGCAGAAAATTGAAAGAAGAAATGGACAACCGAACAGATATTTCTGAAAGGTAAGTCGTTATTTATAGTACAGAATTTTACTGAAAAAGAAAAGCCAGAGTGGAATATCATGAAAAATCATTTTTGAAACATGTTTGTAAAATAGGACTATTTTGTACTCAGCTTGAAAAATTGGCCTACAAAAAGTACATTATATTTGTTGAGATTTAATATACTGTATAATTGCTTTGCCTCATTTTATAGGATTGAGTCAACTAGAGATATGTGCAACTTGCTAAAAGACTATACTACCAAACTGCAAGACAGAATGGCAATGTGTGAAAGTGACCGAGATGAGCTCAAAACAATGGAAAAACAGAATATAGAGGATTTGGAGGTGTGTTGCAGTGAGGTTGAAATGTTATCACATAAACCACAAAAAGGCCACATCTTCATATTCTACTTTTGCTTTTGTGCTTGGTTTAGTTGTACTAAAATAAGTTGAAAATAATGTCAGCAGGGTTTTTTTTTATAGTCGTGCAATGAGATTTTGCACGTCTCCCCATTCCATTAAAATTCCCCTTTTCCAACTCCATCTGATTCAGTTTCCTTCTGCATCCCCCATTAACCGCTTCAGACTCATAGTGGGCAATATTAGCTTACATTTGTTCCTCTTAGATAGATCTGTACTGTCATTGCGTTTAAAAACATAACCTTGACCATTATGAGTGGGAAGTGTGGTCAGATTGATCACTTCCTTTAGTAGCTACCCTCAGCTGCTTTAATGCAGAGTGCAGCTGTACTTTTCCTTTTTGTCAGTTTGGTTTTATTTAATGCAGTATGCAAGCCTTTACATTATTTTTGACAAAATGCAGAGCATATGCTAGTTTTAGCAATAAATTAATTTACATTTATTCATTGCAGTTCAAAATTCAGAACTTTTTTCTTTCTGTGTATTAGCTGATAAACATTATTCCAACCTTGAAAAGAGTTAGTCTTCATTAATGGCTAGGTAGTTTCGTGACTTGGTCAGTTTGGTTTCGGAAATGCACTGAGACAGAAAGTTTTCCTGTTAGCAAACTGCAAAAACATATGTTCAGTGCGAGTGAAATTAAGGGTGCCCTTTGGAGTACATAAATTGTACTTTTAAAGCTGTACATATGATGATTAGTATTTTGCTTTCTATTTCAATATATTTCAGTACAACTATTTGATAAGATATTAGAGCAATCAGTTTTATCTTTTGGCCATAGCCAACTGCCAAACAGACATGCTATGTTTTCTAGATCAAGTTGTGGTTTACATCCCAGGGGATAACAATTGTGTGCTTTATTCAAATCATATCAAATATCACAGGCAGTGTGAGGCATGGATGTAATTATAACTCGTGGTTTATTTTCCCACAGGAATTAGGAGTTATGTTCAAGGATCTAAGTCTGCTTCATACGAACAAGGTGAATGACCTGATGTTGGCATGTAAGTATGATATCACGCGGCATTGGAATAAGGACAACAAAAACCACACAAACAACAACAAATAAACAAACAACAAACTACCTACAGGGAATTAGACCGAGAAGCAAAACCAATCAATGAAGAATCAGCTTCCAAAGTTTAAATGTAATTATGACATTCAGACTTTCCAAAATTAAGACCAGACCCAGCATACTTTGGGAAAAGCACGAAAACATAGTTAAAGCATACAAAAGGACCCAATATAATTGTGTCACCAATTTAACAGCTGTGTTTGTGGTGTCACTCTTTGATGCAGTGAACAATGAAAAAGACTCCAGTCTGAAGAACAGTGAGCAACTAATAAGCCAAACGAGGGAAATTCAGCTGAAGGTCAGGACAAATCAATGCAAATCTCCTGTTCAAGTGTACTTTTTGGGCTGCTTAATAAATGATGACAAGCAAGCAAATGTATTTGTAATTCAACATAAGGAAACGGACAGCATCATGTGTTTTTCATCCATCATTTGTTGTTCATCTTATGTAATTGTTGTTAATCTAATGATTAATGGATTGGACATGAATGGATCAGTGTCCATTCTCCTGATCTAGTCTTGAATGATTGTTTAAGACAGGCCAAGTAGTATTTATTTCCTTCTTTATTTGTGATAATTTGCTCATAGTGCATTTCTTCGTCTTTCCGAACTGCATTTACAAATATAAGCTTAAAGATCTTGAAAGACAACTGGATGAGAAAGAAGTCAGCATACAGCAAATGCTTGTCAAGAAACAGGAAATAGAACAACATTTGGCTGAACTCGAAAAGGAAAACTGTAAGCTTGAGTTTCCATTACAAAACAAAGGAAATATTTGAAAATCATTCCAGGAAACGTTTCATTCAAATTTTGTTTTGTACCTGTTTTGTTCTCTTTTGAGGGAGAAATGACAGACCTGGAAAGTTGACCATTTCTATGTTACTGGGTGTTTTAATTTAGGGTGGTTTTTATGATTTTTTTGGCTTTGAACTTTGAGCTGCTGTGCAAATGATGTAGGTGTCCTGTATGTGATACGCCATTTACCCCTCTCCCAAGGTTCCTACAGAAACCCAATTTTCAAATTTCAATTTTAAATTCTTCCCATTAGATCTACATCCAAAATATTAGTCATAAATTGTACGGAATAAATTAAGAACATGAATTGAGTATCAAATATAATTCTTGCCTTCGATATTAGCATCCCTTCAGAAGACTTTGGCAGAGGCAGTTGATAAAGTCCAAACTCAAGCTGAAGTTTTGGAGCAGTCAGACAAACAGATAACAGATCTGAATCATAGGCAAGAAGAATTGATCAGTGAAAAGGTCAGTGTAGATCACAAACCCTTCTGCTGTTCAGAAACATGACTATATTAAAAAACAATTGGCACACATTTAATAATTTGACCACTATTTGGCAGAACCCTATTTTAAACTATTTTTGACATATTGACGTTAAATGTCATACGTCAGTGTATATGCTGGGTAATATAAATACTTATCAAATGACCAGTGTTGACTTGCCATATTATAAAGAGTGTTTCTAATCTGTCAGCCACAAGTCATTGTCCGTTGAAGTGCTGCTGTTCATTAACCTCGCTCCAGGTCCAGCTCCAGGAGGACCTCCAAAGCCACAGCAATCATATTGAGGAACTCGAGCAGAATGTCCAGAGCTTGACAGAATGCATTGAGAAACTTACCAGTGAAAAGGACACGTTGTTCTTAGAGACACAAACACTCAGGGAAAATCTGGCGATCAAATTGGTAATCCAGTAGCTATTAATGCATTTTTCAGGTGAAACTCTGAACTGATGTTGCCTTCTTTAAGCTTAGTTTGCTTACTGGACTATGAGCATGTACCAATAACGTTTTATCATATACGTGATATTTTTTGCCCAGTCACCATAAAAACTATTGGTTATGTTACATTTTGAACATAAAAACCATTTAAAACATAGTATACATGACACTGAGCTACCACATTGATTTGATGTTTTACTAGGAAACATGAAATGGAGTGAAACTCCTGTGTTTCCCTCTTTCTTTTTTCAAATAACTTTTGTTGTGAATTATATTCACAGGCCCAAGAGCATGCACAATGCTGGGGTTTATTAACATTCAGGGTTATCTTTTAATCAAAATTTGAATTAGGGAGAAATTGATGGCTTGAAAGATGAACTCAAAGTTGTACTAGAAAGAGAGCAAGCATCCTGTGAAAAGGTGGACTCCATCAAGCAACAGAATCAGGCTGAACGGTAACCTCAGTATTTTTAAAGTCCACATATATATGTAGTCATTTGTGGGAAAGGACTTCCGGTTCTTAACTTCTTCTTGTAGTTAAATTGCAGACAGGTGTGCATGCAGGTTGGTTTATTTAGAAATGCCTTCTGTAATCAATTATGTTTGAACCCAAGAATGAAATCTCTTGTCTTCATTTTTCATTTCAAAGAGAAGAAAATGTGAAACTTTCTGAGTCCCTCAAGACCGCAGAAGCTGAGAGCAAATCTTTGGAGGGTAAGCTGTTGATCAAGGAGGAGCAGATGCAGGAGCTTAGGAAAAATCTTGAGGTAGGGAGCAGTTCTTCCACTACAGCTGCAATTTAGAGATCCTTGTTACCGGTACTATGAATATGTCACATGTCATTACATGAAATAAGTTTCTATTTCTTTCTTGTTGCCAGACTCTGCAAGAAACAGCTAAAGAGGGAAAGACAATGCTGGAGGCTTCTGGTCAGAAAACCAAAGATCTTGAAGAAGAGATTAACATTCTTAGAGAAACACACACAGAGCGAGAACTGAACACAGCCCAAGAACTACATGAAGTAAAAATCAAAGTATGTTGAAAAAAGATAGATGCTGAATAATCTAAATAAATTAAGCAGGATCTCTCCAAGCTTATTATGTATAACTCTCATTTAATTACTTCAATATATTTGTTTGAAGAACCTTTGATTTGGGAAATATATTTAAAACAAGTCATGCAAGTACTTTTAAGGAGTCTTGTTGTAAGGGCCAGTGGCACTTTCTTTACCTGTTATGCTAAATCATGGATGTAATCTCACCTTTGCTGACAGGTGGATTTGGTTTTTATCCTAACATTTCACCATTTATTTTTAAAGCTTGAAAGTTCAATGCCGTACGTGTGGGTGTGTATAACACAAAGCACATGCCTAAATTTCTAAAACAATGTCAATTTTCATATTTTGTTCAGAATGAGAATTTGAACAGGGAATTAGAAGCCATCAGCAACCAATCAATTTCCCTCGAGAGCAAGAACAAGTCTCTTCATGGCCAAGTGACTTCCAAAACAAAACAAGTGAAAGACCTTCAGCAAGAGTTGAAGACACTGAAGGGAAAGTTGACAGCACAGACCAAGCTTGCCACTGCTGCAGAAGAAAAGGTTTCTTAATTTGTGATTAGCTTTATCATTAATAAATTCTTGAATATTAATTATTTTAAATCAATTTTAGACACACAATCTGTGGACCATGCCGATAATTTTGAAATCACTAAGAAATGCACTTACACTGTGTGACACACTCATTTTCTCTTCAGTTCAGCTCAGTGTCCAAAGAACTTGAAGACACCAAAAGTGCACTTGAAGAGATGAAAGCCAAGGTTTGCAATTGTCCTCTCATTAATCATGATTTTATTTTGCTGCAAGCAATTGGACTGTCCAGTTATTTAAAATTTTATGAAACTGAAAAAGAACTGTACCAGAAACAGCTTCAGATGCAACAAATTTGGATTTTTTAGAGAAGATCCCACCCCCCCCACACCCAAAACCTGGATACAGCACTGTTCAGATGGACTTAACTGTTTTGTATTGTAAATAATTCTAGTTACATTCAGCGACAGAAGACATGGAGCATGAGAAGGATGTACTTAAAGATCTTAGAACTAAGGTAAAAAAAAAACACAAAGTAGCCTCCTTTCACAGCAGAACATCTAAACTTAAGTTAGATATTTGTCACTTTAAGTATACCACGAATGCTTTCATTCAAGCTTGGAGCTTATATAAGCTTAGTACTGTTTTGATTGATTCTGTGAATTCTATAAATGGTAAATTATTTTCTGTTTAATTAGGATTTCCAAATCCTAGTTAGCAATATCTACTGTATCAACTGACAACTTCTGAGGTATTTCATTTTTGTTTTCCAAAATCGTTCATTACCAATAAGTTTCATAATGCATTCATTAGCTTCTCAAGAAAGAGCAAGAAGTGGAAGAGAAAATTGACATCGTAGAGAATCTTGAGGACCAAGCTGTCAGTTTGCGCCAGAAGACAGAAGCAGCTGTTAAGGAACACACAGATGCTAAGCAGGCCTGTGAACTTCAGATGGCCGAAGTCAGTGCAACACTGGACAAGTATAAGGTAGGCCTATTGATAAACAGTAAGTCTGTGAAAATAGTTTTACAGAAGCAAAATTTGACATGACAGCTTTTTTGTGGACCCCCCCTCATAAACTGATTTAGAAACAGCTGGAAGGAAGGGGGTGCCCACTCCTTCCTTTGGGCCCGTCACAGAACTCATAAGTCTCCTGTGATTGATGGCACATGGTGCACTAGTAACACTGAAAACACTGTTATTAGAAATTATGAATCGTCACAATCACAAATCATTTCACATTTCAAATATCTAGTCTTACTACTACATTCTGATAATACTGTGGCACAACTTTCTTCTGAATTATAATTAGCCATACTCTAATTTTTAGCTAAATTTGAAAACCCCAGCTCTGGTATCTCTGCCGTCTCTCCTTCTTACATGCTTCCTTTTTCAATTGTTATGGAGCACTCAACCGAATGCTATTAGTTTCAGGCAATTTTCTTTTTTTATTTGATTCATAGGCAGAGAATGAGAGGATGGTTGCCCAAAAGGAGAAGGAGATTGATCAGTTAAAGAAGGAAATGGAACAACAAAAATACAAGAAGAAGTTGGAGGTAAGCATTCTTGTTTCTTTAAACTGAATTACTTCTGTGCTTTGCAGCCTCATCCCTGGCCAGGCGATTTACCACTTGTAATTTTACAATAGTCTGTGACAATTTTCATGGGTGTTATCAGTGACCCTAAAAATCAGTGCTTTAAATTTGCCATAAAGAAGTTGGTTATTTTGATTGGTTGTTATGGCTAATGAGAAACAATAAGCACACATTCCAACAGCTTCATTCATCAATTCCATCAACTGAGATTCTGGGAATTTCTAATGAGTGTGCTTTATTAAGGACCAAAGTTTTGCTTATTACGGATAATGAGCCATAAATCAACCAGCAAATGGACTTGACCCACGACAAAAACCCAAGCCTCAATATATATCACTCAAATATGCAATTGACATGTTTCCCTTGCATTCACTGTGGCAGCGTCAAAAGCCCGTAACAATGCTATTTCCTGCTGTTCTCTGATGAAAGGAAGATCAAATCAGTCAGATGAAGAAAGATTTACAAGGACTGAAACACCAGTTGGCTGAGGTTCAGGCTGAAAGAGATGAAGCAAAGAAGCAAGTCAGCAATCAGGAGGAAAACATACACAGCTTGAAGGAAAAACTCAAAGGAAAGGTGTGTGTTGATCACTTTGATTACCCTGCCCAGCCTCTCATGCATCTAATTGGACTTTGGTCCTCCTTTTATATGCAATGTTTTTGCACTCAAATCAAATTCAGCAAGTTCTAATTTGTCAAAAATGTAATTTAATCAAACCTTTTTCATTCACAAACAATAAAATGGAGGTAAGTAATCAACATTAAACTAAGTTTTATTTTTTTGATGGAAAGAGGAAAGTGTTGTTTAAAAAAGCAAAAATTTAAACTGTACCTTCCATTCTGTGGTGCCTTTTTTCTGAGAAATTAATTCAAATGTACTTTGCATTCTTGCACATATGGACAGATAACTTTTAATGAAAAAATAGAATGATGTATTCTGACTCACCATCCTATTTGAAAAATTCTGTTACCGTGTTGCTTCATTGCAGTAAACTTGGCCACATTTCCCATGTGTTGACCTGTAAGAAAGACAATATAAACTACCATAAAATGTGGTTTAACATTCCATGTTTAAACCCATAATCATTTTAATGTATCTTTTTGCATTGAGGGATGAGGAATCAAAGGCCTGAATGTTTAAAACTCTAAGAGGTTGAAATGATCATTAATCTTAAAAAAAAAAACATAGGGAGAGAGACGGAACCATTATATAAGGATTTGAAACTTTTTGTTGGTTCTTTCATGCTGGATCACTTGCTTATATATAAAACGTTGTGAATATATCCCTCACAATAATCCTCCTACTTTGTTTCAGGAGGACGAGCTGAACCAGCTTCTGACTACTGCTGAGTCCTTGGGAGAGCCTATGGCTGGCATCAGTCCCATTGCTCCAAAACAGATCACCTCACTTCCAAAGCATTCCACTCCCAAACCTACACCCAAGCAGGTTGCACCACAAACTCCTACGTCTCTAATGGCAGGTAAGCTCATTTCAGTTAATGAAACTTTTAAAAAGTGACAGTGGTGAAACTGACATCATAAAATATTGACATCTAGGCCTGACATATGGGTATTGTGTGAAACTTACTCTTTATGGCCAAAAAAATTATCATCACAATTGCTCCTTGGTGAATAACTGCAGGCGTTCCTTGCGCATGTGAGAATGAAGAGCTATTCTACAATAATCATACCTCTATATTTATTAAAGAAATTGTGTGAACGTGTTGTATTTTACATACATTGTAAAATTTCTTGATTTTGAATTAAACAGTAATAACTCTGTTGTAAAGGTGTAAAGTTATCTGAATAGGCTTAAATAAAGAACAGAAGTCCTAAATCTGTAAATTGATTTCTTCTCCCAGATTTCTTGTGTTTAAGTTCATGAAGAAACTACACTAAAATGGTAATTTCTAAATGAATTTCCAGTTGGTGGTGTTAAATGATGATGAGTAGAAGTACATCATGCCAAATAAAAGTCAAACAAATTCCTTGGTTTGGCAGAGAAACCTTTACCCCTCACCCCATGTAAAAGCAAGAATCCCAGGCACAGTATCTTGAAGCATGCAGTCAGTGCGACCAGGAAGAGGCACGTTGCATTTGCCTCTGATGACGAGGACAGCTTCGATGGGTCTGTCTCTGATTCCTCCAGCTCCCAGCTTATGGAGATTGAGGTAATTGAAAATGGGCATTTTGTGTGGGCTCTTGTTGGATTAATTCTGAAGAAATGTTTTGAAAGAGAGAGGCGTTTTTAAAGAGACTGAAAAGAAATTGGTAGTAGAATTACATTGGAATCCTAATTTGTCTCAGTGATGCAAGCTGAGGGCAGCAAACATCAAATATGGCGAGAAACATTATTATTGACATTCGTGGATTGCTATGAGTGGCATTATTTCTGTAATGGAGTGATGCTAAGTTTTGCAGTGATCCCAATTATAAAGGGTGCTTAGAAAACTGACCACTGAAAGTGTAGCATGCTTTAATAACAGCTACCACAAATTCTTGCTTTCTTTTACTTAACTGATGAAAACTCCTTTCAATTGGCAGCGTTTCATGTGAAAATGTATACCCTTTTTTGCCATGATTTTCAACTTATCCCACCGTGACAAACAAGTTGACATTTTCCTGTATCTTTTGTCAGCAAAGTGAGGTAGACCGACGCTTGAACACCACTCCTTGTGCAAGACCCAGCCAGAAAGTCCAGCCTCTTCATGTTACACCCTCCAAAAGAAACCCATCCAGTGGCCAGTCGACACCAAATATGTCAGCTAAGATGACCCCACTCAAGCCTGGCTCAGGAGGAAGACAAACTCCATCCAAAAGCAGGCCTTACCTCAAACCGAAGAAGGTTATTTAAAGATAAAGATGAAATCAGTGTTAATAGCCACTGTTAACAGCTTTACCTCTGAACTCATGTACCAAACTTGTAGAAACAGGCTCAATAATTTTCACAAATCTGCGACTACTGATCGGAGAAATAATGCAAGTTGAGAACTTCCTGGCCATGATCAGTGCAAGAAGTTATAATCCCAAATCATTCATTTATGTCAGTATCTTGAAAATAAATTTCTTTCTCTTCAGATGAAACCTCAAGAGGAAGTCCCATCTGAGATGACACAGGCTGAGCTTATTCGCTTCAAAGAGTTGTACCCTGACGAAACTGCCATGCATCCTTCAAACAAAGTTAAGGTAAGGACAAGGTAAAGCAGGGTGCATGCTGTACAACACCTAAATAAATCCCCATTGTCTGAAATGTGGACCTTTGATCATGTGCCATTGAATTATTCCTTTGATCATATGCTGACCAAGTAATAGCCACCATGTGGTCGAACCTTGTACTACCGTGTGTGCTGCTGGTAAGCATGGTTATGGTGCTTCACACCAAGAGACAACTTGGCAGGCTATGCCAAACAACATTTTTTTCTGATGATGACATTCTTTCTTAACTCGTGAGTGATGCTTCTAATAAAGAAAGCAAAAATTAAATTGGTGGTCAAATTATAAGAGAAATAAATAAGACACGCTGGAATGTCTACTGAAACTTTTGTGTTGTAATTTAACACCAATCTCAGAAAGTAAAATGGCAACTTTTTACAGGATTTATTAAGATGTTGTATGAGCCAAACAATGGATATTTCACATGTAAGCAGTTAATGGAAACAGATTTTACTTTCAGTGACATACTTGATCTCCCATTCCACTTGGTTTCATCTTACTGTGACACTTGCAACCTCATTCTTTATTATCTAAAATTACTCAACATACATATCAGCATGGAGACAGTCGAGTCTCCATACAAAACTATACCTTTCCTTCAATTTAACTTTGTGAGTGCCATGGCGCCACATTGTACAAATCCCATACTGTCAATAAGCATACATGTATACAAGGGTGAACCGGGGATAGGGGACAATAGAGGCCATGGCCCACAGCTAAACAATTTTTTTAATTTTTCAAAAAGTGTGTGAAAAGGCCCAAGACCTAGCCTCATCAGGCCATAAAAGGTTACATGAAAAAATATGTTTAGCCCCCCAACAAGTTTGCCCCCCTTGTACGAATACAATCAAAGTTCTAGGTACATGTAATGAGAAAATTATTGATTGAACAGGCAAAGAAGACTCTTCTGACAACAGGTAACACCCGCAAGACTTCCAATCGCATTTTCAAGGTGAAAGGACTTCAAGACTCATTTAAAGGTCACAAGACCAAGTTGAAAGCTGGCAAACCAAAGGAAAATGACTTGTCTTGGCTTGACATGGATGCAGTGTATGGCTTCTTTGAATAAATTCATTATTGTTGTCCACATTTTGGGACAGTGTTACAGTGTAGAAATTCAAATTAATATAAAAAACAAATGCCAAAATGGAAGGCTCATCTGTAAGTTTATTTATTACACCAAACTAAATTTTGTACGTTATTTTTAAGAGTTGTATTTATTTAAGTGATAGTCTAATGCATAAAAAGCCAGAAGTTGTATTTTACATGAATTTATGGATTTATAACGTCTGTCAATTAGAGACTGAAGTATGTTTCTTCAATGGTTACATGAAGTTTGTGTTGTATTTTCTGATTTTTCATGGGCTGTATCCACAGTGGCCTTCTCATACTGAAAATGAGATTTTCACAACCAAGTGAGGCTACTTTACCATATTCTGTTTGGGTGCTTTACTCTATTTTAAACTCGATTCAAACATACACACGATCACTTTATAATAAGGCTCTGCACATTGGTTGCATGTAAATTGAAGTTTGTCTCTAGCATACCAAACTGCATGCCACATCACGTGTCTTCCTCAATTGTTTCATATATAGGCGGCCACAGACAGCTCTTGCAAGGGCCCCCAAAACAGATTTTAAATATAATTCTTCACCAGCGAAAATTGCTGTGGCCCATTACAATTTTTAACTGTAAGACTGGTTGGTTTGTGCTTATGCAGGTACACATACTGTTTCTGAAAGGTGATTTTATCAGTTAAAAACTGTTGCCCCATGATTTCATTATCGTTACATTTATTTGTATTATTCATAACGGAGGGCAGTTTTCCTTTTTTTTAGAGCTTTGTTAAATTTTTTCTCTTTATTCTGTCCTTATAGGTCGAATAAATAATAATCTCCATACAAATGGTTAGCAGAGCAAACCATCAAGGTTTGTAAGGTTCATGTACATGGACATTTACTGCAATGGATTCTTATCAATGCTTAGCAGAAACTTGTTTAAAATTATACTGGCTATTTGATTTCTGTTCTTAAAAGTGAATAGGATTTTATGTAAATATGTGCCATCCAAGAGAATTTTTTTCACTTGAAAGTTAGCATTTACATTTTTCTTTTTGTAACTGGACATGTTCCCTGTGTTTGATTCCAAGGTTAAAATAATACAGTATCATTAAAATGTATGCACTTTGAAGTGTTTGGCATTAATTTTCCAGACTGAACTTGTACCAGAGTTTTACTTGTCACTAATTATACAAATACTTCTGATTTACAACTGTACATACAAATGTACATCAATATCAATGTCCACTCCATGCGTGTACAGGTGTATAGAGTAGTGAATCAATAGGTTAAATACTTACTCAAATATCATCTCAAACACCAAAAATGAAATACTAGCATCAAACAGAAATACATGTACTATGTACACCAAAATGTTTATTGATCTTCTATGCTGATGAGGAACATTTTTAAAATTTGCAGTAGAAAAGATAAAGGATACACATATTCCATGATTCACTATCTACTTGGCCAAAAATAAAAAAAATTCCAACATGACCCAAAACTTGCTCCTGCAAAGAAATACCAACTTTAAAACACCACTTTGCAAACCGTTATGGACGGAATGTGACTCCACAGTGCTTTTTATTTACAAAGATAAAAAGGAAAACCAGCTCTTCAAGCTTGTGCTTACTGGTTAAATGGCTGTTCCTAAATGTGCTTTCAGGTAAAAAGATTAACTATAAAAATGGATGACAAATCAATGCACAATGCATATTTCATTTTGCAAACATGCACCTTCTACTAAGGGGTTGGATTAACTTTCTTGTATAAATGTATTTTTTTAAAGGCGTACATGTAAATGAAAAGTTGTGCAATGAATTTATCACTTATCAAACTTTGCACCATTCTAAATTTCCCAATTCGAAATATGTCTGCTAATTTCTACTATATTTTGGACGGAGTCGGCTTTGAGAATCACAAGAAAAATAAAAAAGGACAAGACAACATATCTATTTACAATATTCACATCCAGCGAAGATATCATCTGTCCTGAAACATTCAAATTTTCATTCAATGATTTATAGTACGTCCAATCATTTCTGTACAAACACCACAAATGGCACCAAACGGAAGCATAAATGTGTCACTTCATTAAATCACATGCATTTTAAATTAATGCTCTCAGTTTTTATCAGGTAACCTTATCAGACATGATTGTTTTTCTGTTCCATGGCAAAAAACTGCTTAAAGGTTATCAAAACCATAATTTAAAAAATGGCATGATCTGAATCAAGTTGATTGAAGGATTTCTTTTTTTACTGATGAGAAGTCGGCAGCATCCCACATTATACGGGTTGGGTGATTAAATGCCACCCTCAAGCTGCACCCAAAGTGCAAAAACAAATATTTCTATACTCACTTCAGCCTACCAGAAAACTATGTTAACTTCCTGACTACAGAGTTAACATTTTCAGCACAGCTGAAATGAGTTTGTTTCCCACAGCTTTTTCATGCATTTCCATCCGCCCTCTTGCAGAAAACTATGGAGGATACTACAGACTACAGACCAGTGAATAAATAAGTCAGTTTGTTGCGCTGTATTGAGCCAAACCCATAGGACAACCTGCGCATGGTACAAGAGAAAGTAAAAAAAGACTATGAGAAAGCTAAATTTAAAAAGACATTAATTTTACATGATAAAATAGCATTAGCTATTAAAACTCTGACAAATGTTTAAACTCAATGTTGGAATGTAATAAGAGATTGTCAAGTAAGTGCAGATGCACACAGCAGAGTTAGGTTCCCTTGGAATTTTTCCACAAATTGAGAGCTCGGCATGTTCATCCATGGTTCATCATGCACAGTTGATCATCTTGGGTGTGGACACAAAATGCCTATCAAATACTGCCAGAGCTTCTTGTTTGCTTGTTAAACTTACCTTTACAAGTCTTGTCAAGATCATTTTTACATTATGTACAAAGGGTTTGCTAACCATGTCCAACTTACATGTTACTCTTAGGTAACTTCACTGCATTAACAATAAAGTGACATAACACATTTCAGTACTCACCCATTACTTTGAAAATCACATAATTAATCAGATGCATCTATTATTAAAGGCGTTGTGTACTCTGAGTGCTTGATGCCAAAGGAAAATTTAGGTGCTTGGTCCTTGTTGATGAACACCTGAAATGAAGATTTATTAAATCAAAATGTTCATATAACTGATTTACTTAATATCTAAAAACATCCCTATACAATTCTTAGGCAAGAACCAGTGTTGCTGCTTCAAAAGTAATTAATGTACGACAGCAAAAGATGACTTAACAAAAAACCACAGACTGCACTACAGCTATGAGAACATTCTACAAACGATAAGGCTGTCAATTCCAAAGTGGTTATCAGATCTGATATGAGAGCATGCAGGCTAGTATACTCCCAGGTAGCTGAGATTGTGTCACAAAAATGTTCAGATGTGAGCCCAATGAGCAGGGATGAAAATATATCAGTGCCTTTGAATGACAGATACTGTTAAATCCTGTGTGCCTCAAAAATGCTCCAATGTCATTACTATTAGGAAAATTATGCTTTGAATGTCACTGATGACCCCGCTGAATACCCACCTTCTCTGGACTGTGAGCTCCCGGTCCTGGCTTGAGCGTCGAGTCACTAGGTAGCTGATTCCTCCCTGTCATGGAGTATAGGGGATCTTTCTGCTTGTACACAGAAGGCTCGACGACCTTGTACGTGCCCGGCCCTGGCGTCTTTGACAGATCCTCGTCACAGGAGCCGATCTTGCTGCGACCCGTCATGGAGTAGTTGGGGGCCGAGGTCACAGCGATGGATTTACCTCCCAGAATACTTGGCAGCGTGTAATTGTTTGGGGCTGGCAGGGCAAGTGAGAAACAACAAACAAGAGGTTGATCAGTCAATTTCAGTTGATGGCCATGTTCAGGATAAATTTGTCTTGAATATATTTTACCAACTATGAGGACGAAAAAATGATTTGTACAATCTGCTTGCTTGAGCATGTTCAAATTAACTTATGAAATAAGCCATCTTTGTCAAAATGGAAAACAACAAAGTCAAACCCCCATGAATTTAACAACTTTTTGTACCTGGAATACCTAGAAGAAATCAAGGAAAAGCATGTGTACCTGTGTCAAGGAAAATGGCAACAAAATTCACTGCCTTCAGGCCAAACACAGGTTTAAAGAGAGAAGAAGTTATGATTAACCACTTTGATGTATTTTCATATTAAGTTGAAAAATTTTTTACCCCCTTGGTGCAAGTTTATACTGTCCCCCTGAATGAAAATCATATTACCTGGTGACTTATCATGTTTGCTGCCTTTTGTCCTGGCACCAAATGAGTAGGATGCAGCCTTTTTGTAGGCAGTCTGTCCAGCCCTCTCGGGAGAGTAACGCCCAGGGCCTGGGGTACTGAACATCTTGGGGTCCTTAGGCCGGCCATAGAGCGAGTAGTGGGGCTCCCCAGCATGGCCGTGCCTGTTGATGCGTGGGTTGGTCAGGTAGCGTGGACCCGGACTGCAGTCGTCGGTCAGTCCCACATGGCGGGAGCCAAAACTGTAAGCGGGGAACATTCTCTTGCGAGGGTCACACCGGTGGGTACCCGTGCCACCAGGTAGGAGATACTGACCCGGGCCGGGACCATTGTACATAGCCGCAATGGGCTGTTTTGGTTTGGTTGGTTCCCATCCAGCTGCCATAATTTATTCTTGTCCTGTTTCAGATGTAGCTGTAATGAAAGAGTAAATTGTATTACATCTAAGTACATAATACGTGTAAATGTACATAAATTTTGTGGTGAATCCCCTTCTTGCCAGCTAGTGCAATCCACCCCAAGGTATACAACCAGGCCCACTGTAAACAATGAAACTTGTAAGTCATAACTCTTCTCTCAAAATTGTTTTTCTGTAGCTGTTTATTTAGGGGAAATAGCACAATTTGCAATAAACATACAAATTGCTGCAGTGACCTTAAACCTTAAACTATCGTCTGTAACAATACAGATGCAATGACTAAATGTTCTCAATACTCAAAGTTCAAAGTTCACATATTGAAATCTCTTGTGTCAACAAATCTGAAACTGTAGGTATCCCCGGACTCTCATAAGTTATCCTTGAGAAAAATATCTATTGCAAATACAATACAGCTAGGCTTAAATTTGTTCAAAAGCACTGAACATTATCCATCTGAAGTCAGTGGCTTGGTAAATTTGGCAAGTTTCTAAGACTGTGCTTTCTGGCAGTAAGCTTTCGTTTTGACATGGCTCAACAGTTTCTTAGCTCTGTTAACAAAATTCTGTGCTTACAACCACCTATAACTGTTTGGTGTCAGTGAAAGTATTGGTTTCAGGTTTCACATTCTTAGTAGGACCATGAAACTGGAAACAGATCACAGGTAAGAAACCTCAAGGCTGGTTACATTCACCCTTAGTACATACATGTATAAAAGTCTGTAATAAATTTAAACCTAACAATCTCTACTTCTTTGGGCTCGTTTCTTAATCTTCTTTATGTATTTTGAGTATTTAGAAGCAGCCTGTCTAAACACAAGATAAACCGAAACACACTGACACAAAACATTTTCCAGCCTTCAAACTCTTTGTTTAAGGCAAAGCGGGCAAGAACAATACTGTTCCTAGTATCAAACTTACATGTACTTTAAAAATGGACTCTCCATGTTAACATGATATTTTAAAACAAATGGCGTAGGGCCATGAAGGGTGTCAATTTTTGGAACCAGAATGGTGCTGCTTTGAGAGTGAGACCATGTTGACTCGGACAAAACTGGTTTGAGAAAAGAGTTACCTGTACCCTTTAAAAGCCCAAACTTGCTGAACTAAAGGCCAGAATTTTTATTTATTGGATTATGAACATACATGTAAATTTGCCAGGGTCAATAGGAAGAATAAATACCAAAATACACAAAGAAAATTAAGTTTCTACAAACAACTTGCATGTAATTTAACCAGGACCACAAGATGAAAACTACTGTGCATACCTTAAAAACAACAGACCAGCGACCATCAGCCATATAATGTTGTGCTCAGTGCTGGCTGTTTTTTTTGTTCTAGCTCATTCAAAACACATGATATTTTATTAGGCTGAATGCTTTCTGCTGGACTGCTAGCCCCTCTGAAGTTATAATGGAACAAACCCAACTTTACCTCCACTTAAAAGAAAGAGGCTCCTTGTGTAGCTGCCTATTCTAACAATGCTACATGTATTAAGCATTAACAAGCATCAACAAAAGTCAACACATATCATTGTATGTGCTAATTAGCATCAACAAGGTGTCAACAACTTGAAAATACCCTCTGAAGATTGAAAAAGCGGCATCATAATAAAAACACTCTAGCATCTGCCACTGTGTAAGAAAAAGGTTTAATTTTGTTCTAGATTCTCACAGGAAAGGAACATTTTCAAGATGTCTGGGGGCTGCTGTCTTTCTTATCTCTACCATGGATGATGGACAACTCAACCGTTTACCAACTCAACTCAGGACATATCAACCATTAAGACAACTCAACCATTGGGACAAGTCGACTGTTAATCAAGTCATCCGTTCAGACAACTCAACTGTGCAAGGCATGAACATGATGGAGTGCGTGGCAGTTAACACAGACTGCAGATCGACGTCTTTGGGCAGATTTGCGTGTGTTGCATTACAATGACTCAATTCCCCAAGCACGGTGTGCACATGGACCCAGTAATGCACAAACTGACTGGTGGGCAGCGCGTCACCAGCCCCAACCAGGGTGGTGTGAGGCCGCCATACCAATGCGGCATGCATGATGATGCAGCACACCGTCCGCGGTACACAAGCACTGGTGTGAGAGATAGTAAATCTGTCCCCCAGTCGGGGAGCCGTTTCTTTTTTCTCCCTTCCTGCTTTTAAATGGGAGTGAGAGAGAAGGTGGGTTAAGTGACAGTAAAGCGTAAACAGATTCATCACAAGTCAACTTCTCTCAACTGACTTGTCCAAACAAATGGTCAAGTTTTTCCACCGGTCAAGTCATCTCAACCATTGAGTTGTCCCTAGTCGAGGTGGCAAAGAATCCAAGCAAAATAAGATAGTGACCAGTCCGGCTGCATGAGCAGGGCCGACTTGTCACTCAAGTTTTCACACTTAAATTTCATTTTAGATAAATGCATTGAATATGATATTTAGGAGCCTCATTAATATCAAAGTTACAATATTTTTGCACAAAAATGCTTGAATACATTGTTGACACTTTGTTTACGCTAGTTTACGCTAATATTGCATGACCCTAACACAGGTCAATTCATGTTTTATTTATTAATTAATTATATACAAATAGGGACGATGAAATAAACTAAAAGTAAGAGTTCCATATAGGCCTATGGATACAATTCTAATTTTTTTCTGAAAGTGGTAGGCCTACATCTGAGAGAAAAAGTTAACATGTCCTAAAAACTTAGCAGGGAAAATATTGAGGTGTTAAATTTAGGCTGCTGGCTAAGCAAATGTGTAATTTTTCAGACCAGTCTCATTGGGTTTATGCATAGGGTGTCAAGTAATATCCATGGATGGAACTCTTTCCCCAACTGCACAGTACTGAATTTTAACTCGAAGTTCTGCTTGTGGTCACTCCTCAAACTTTATCAAATCAGACATCATGGCGACAGTGACAACGTAGGCCCTACCATTACTAGGCCTATTTCTGTCCTTTTTGTCAGACAGTCCTTCCAAATATTTAATTTTGTACAATCTATAAAACCTTAGCATATATTTACAACCACATGATTTGCAATATTTCAAATTATTTTACCTTTCCACGGAAGAGGTTTTATACAGAAGAAAATGATGTGTGACTTCACACAGTAGCACAATCCACAGTCTGATCGAGCAGCCGTAAATGTGTGAACTTTTTACACTACAGGCTACACATGCGTGATATGCACAGCAGTAACCAATGTCACCTAGCAACCAAACAGAGATGACCTTTCCACCCGCGACGCGCCTCGACGTACGTACAATGTACCAACATGAATATGCAAAAGGTAATCCGAAGGGCCGATAAACGGAGCTGTGTTTGCTGACAGGAGACAGTTCGTTGTCAAGGGGGGAACAACGGGTGCCGGTGTGGACGAATGTTATAAACAAATCGCTTAAACAACTTCAAGCGAGAAATACATTCAAACAAGGCAGTAGGGAAAATGATTTGGGTCAAGGTTACTCCAACCCTAACATTCATGACGGGTAAAAAATGAACACCCAGGCCATGATCATAATTCAAGCAAAACATCAATTATTTTATCCGTACGCGTTCAATATTAAGCAATTACTATCACGTCCTTGTAGGACTGGATTAAAATGCATAGAAAAAAAATTGATATGAAATAATTTTTAAAATACTCCAAACAGAATAATACAGAAAGCAATACTTAAATTTTGATTGAAAATGGTTAAAAATTTAAGAGAGGGACGTAACCAAAATTGACAAATCAAACGCAAGAACAAATTTAATAGCAACGTTGAAGGGGCCTTGAAAACAGGTAGGGGATGTGAAGCATATTAGGAGAAAAGATTGTCAGAGGAATGTAGGGCAGAGGGGGGGCTTGAGGATGCCCAAGGCGTGTTGCCCATTTTTTTTTTCAAGAATTGAAAAGCACAAACATTTCAAAGTTGGCCCTACCAACTTTCTGTTGGGGGGGGTCATTATATGACAGTCCTGAATAGAACTGGACCGTCATTTATAGAAAAAACTGGCCCCCTGCTGGACCCAAGACCTGGAAGAACAATTAAACAAGTGGCAAGCATCAGAAGTGTTACCTTAAATCTTAAAGTAATAAGTCTTATAGAAATCATGAAAATGTGTGCATGTGTTTAAATGAATGATGTAGCTGGGAATGAGAAAAATAGATTAATCAATTCGACGGTGGAATGGATGCGAATGAGATTGTTCCAACAGCTAAAGCTGCGTGTTGGCAGGGCCAACCTTACTCTACATGTAATAATGCCTGCATGTACATTCTGAATTTGGGCAGAAACTGTCAGAAAGAAATTACAACAGAAAATACATGTCCACTTCATAATGAGAGCAGACTTCACTGCATTTAAATCGTATATGAATTTTTATTTAAATTTCTCTGTAATTTTGACAAGTATATTCAAAATAGGATGGTTAAAAAAAACTTAAAACTGCCACAAATTAGCTGAACCAAATGTAAAAGTAAAATTTACATCACAATTCACAGTCTGATGGGGGGGTTGGTTTTGTACATGACCTGGATTGCAAAGGGTTGTTGCAACTCCCAGCATGTTTGTCGCTTACACAGCAAAAGGCAAAAGTATGTTTTTCCCTAAGGACAGTACAGCGTTCAATTCAAATCTCCAAATCAGTTTTCAATAACCTGTTTTGGCATGACTTTTTCACTTGTGCGTACCGTGAAGTTGAGAGTGCGACAGATAACAGGCAGAGTGATATTGACATAATACATGTATACAAATTATATTTCACCACAATGATACATATTACGTCATCAGTTATCCACATGGAATTAACCCTAACATTCCTCAGTCCTCCAACAGGTGAAGGATTGAGGAGGGTTAGGGTTAATGTTATCTATAGCCAAATGCATGTACTACTGAATCAGGAATTAGTTTTTAAAACAACCTTTTTTGCAACTTTGATAATATACTCTAAAAACTATTAAAATCTCTGATACTATGTGATACATCCTCACTAAATCTAACAAACTACATGTACTTTTAAAACTTACTGGCCTTCAAAGCATAAAAAATGATTTACAACTCAACTTTGCAATCAAAGAGACTGCTTTTGTCGTTTTACTGGTACAGCCTGTCAGTACAAGGAACTGCTAAAAATGTTTGTTTTGGTTTGAAAACAATTAACACATATTGATTGCATAAACCCTGTTTTTAAGTAGGAACACAACAGCATTATGCATAGAAATGCATTGTTGATGAAACGACAGGCTAAAATGTTGGCAATCATTTTTTTAATGAGTTAAAATGGATGATAAAATGTGTCATATTCTAAACAGTCTTGAGGTCGAGTACGTTTTGAGTACCAAGGTTCTCTGCCGAAAATATCAAACTGGGTGAGAGGGAATAAGCTGGAAGGCGTTAGATGGAAGATGCACAAAGGTAAGATTACCAAGTAAATGTAACACTTCAGACACTCCCAGTTTTGTAATATTTAAGTTTTAAGGAGAAAG